CACCTTGGAAGAAATAATATTAGAAAATATATCAATGATAAAATTTGCTGATAATAGTTTCTCAAAATAATTGAAGAAAGAAACAAAAAATTTTGATATAAGGTAGTATTTATTAAGGAATAGTTAACACATCATCCTGAAGGTCAAGAAAAGGATGACAGTTGGAGATCTGGAGGTTTAGTTTAACTGCATCTTGTATCTGAAGAAAGATGTAGGGAGGAGATCCATGGAAAATTTGAGTGGTATTTAATGTAAGAATCCCTTTTGCCAGTTTCTTGCTGGTGTCAGGATTATAAGGTGGGAATCATTCAGCATATGAAAATCTTAACATGGGTGAGAATTTCAGATCAATGAGATGATGGCTGCCTCATGTTGATCGATAGGAAGCTCAACAAGAGGGGCCACAGCAGCTAGGGCGGCGGCAAGTTGTATGGCAGCAGGTGGTCTGACAGCACACGGGGCGGCAGCAGCTGGACACTCCACAGCTGGGGCGGCAGGTGGTCTGACAACACACGGGGCGGCAGCAGCTGGACGCTCCACAGCTGGGGCGGCAGGTGGTCTGGCAGCAGACTGGGCGACAGCAGCTGGACGCTCCACAGCTGGGGCGGCAGGTGGTCTGGCAGCAGACTGGGCGACAGCAGCTGGACGCTCCACAGCTGGGGCGGCAGGTGGTCTGGCAGCAGGTGGGGCGGCAACAACTAGAACCACAGCAACTGGGACGGCAACAGCTGGACACACTGCAGCTGGGAGGACCGCAGATAGTCTGACAACAGACTGGGCGGCTGCAGGTGGTCCTGCAGCAGGTGGTCTGGCAGCAGCTGGGCTGGCAGCAGCTCTCCTGGCCGGTGCCTTGGCCACAGCCCTGCTCAGAGCAGACAGAGCCACAACAGGAGCTGACCATGGTGTCGGAGGAGGAGGTTCTGCGTGGGTTTTCAAGAGAGTGAGTTTCCCAAATGTGGGAGGCCCCTTATTCCCTGTCCTCTTTTATACTCTGCCACTGTCACCAGGTTGAGGGTTATTTCCTTATTATTGTTTCTCTTAACGAATAAACAATTACCAAATTAGTTAATGGTGGAAAATTCTATATAAGAGTTAGATGGAATGCATTCTTTCTTGGACTTAGGATTTGTCAAATCCAGTCACCTCTTGTCTGCTTCCTTATGTGTATCATCAATTATCAAAGATTCCTAATATGACTCATCTGATCAGTTGCCATGAGATGGATCATAAGAAATTCAACATTCCATGCACAATCCTGGAAGCTCATACCAGTCCTCTAGTGGGTCTGTGTTTCTTGATTCCTAAAAATTCTTTTGGAAAGTAAAGTGTGAGCCTGGGCATGGTACATCCCTTTAATGCCAGCACTTGAGAGGCAGGGGCAGGGGGATGGATATCTGTGAGTTCAGGGACATCTTGATCTACATAGTGAGTTCCAGGCCATCCAAAGCTACATAGTGAGACCATGTCAAATAAATAAATAAATGAATGAATGAATAAATAAATAAATAAATAAATAATAAATAAAAGAAACG